AGTGCACACCCTGCAAAGTTTGATACGACATTTTGTTTACATCTTCATCAGGGTGGGACTAACTATTTGATATTGAAGAAAAATGTGGGTCGATTTCGGCATAATTAGGAGCGGGCTACAGGATGACGTTTTGAACTCCTGAACGTTTTGAACCGGTGCCTCGAAATGGACGAAATCATCAGGATTTTTCTTAATTATAGGTCGATTGGAAAGAAACTCGGCACGTGGATACAGGTACCCGAATGGAGTTCTCAGACAGGCAGACGAATAGACCGACAGACGAAAGTAAGAAAGTTTCACTTCAAATATGTGCGCATAAATCACACACAATCTTTTTTTCAGATAAAAAAAACAGATATGGTATGTTAGTATGTGACATAAATTAGGATTGATTGACGTATACAATTTGTTACGTATACAAAGCGTACCAATTGTTTTGGCCACTTTCTGTTTCACCGGAAATTACTACAACTTTTGATTTCTAAATGGCATCCTCGGTATATTTCTACTTTATTCGATAGAAAATGACACTCTAAATAAAATGGCATATCATATGTCAACTTTTGACATTTTCGAATATGGTTTATTTAAAATTGCAACATGCCAATTCATAACGACAATAATTTAACTCGAAATACTAATACTAAGTAGCAAATAATTCGTAAAAAATGCTTTTTCCAAATATGCTAATGAGCCACCCTTGTTCCGTTTGAAAAAATTGAGATATGATTAAAAACACGATTTGAGCATCTTTTAACTTTATTCGATAAAAAATGACACTCTGAACAGAATATGGTTTATTTGAAATTGTAACATGCGGTCCATAACAACATATTGACTCGAAATACCAAGTGTGTGGTATCAGATTATTGGTAAAAAAATACCTTTTCCAAATATGCTAATGACCTGCCCTCGTTCCATTTGAAATTTGAAATTGAAAATTGGGATATGATTAAAAATACGATTTGGGCATCTTTTAACCTGCCAGGAGAAGACTCGAAAAACATTAGACGATCAAATTTATGTTTCCAAGGTTCCTTGATTAAAAATGTCTAGTTTTAACACAGCCATTGCGCTCTAGATTCAAATTTAAAGTACCATTTTTTTTAAAGCGAAGATGTCAAAAGTTAACGTATGATATGTCATTCTATTCAGCCATTTTCTTTCAAATGAAGTAAAAAAATACCGATGATGGTGTTATTTAAAAATCAAAAGTTGTAGTAATTTCCGATGAAACAGGAATTGACCGAAAACAACTGAATACGTCAATCAATCCTAATTTATGTCATAAAGTAACCAAAATAAAATCTCGTTTCATTATCCGAACAAAATAAAAAAAGGCATAGGGATGAGCCACTTTTGAGAAACACCCGATATACAAGCAAAGGCAATATGTAAACAAGCCGTTTGTTTATTCACAAGAGAAACACTAAACCGCAAAACCTGACATGAAACTATGAAACATTCTCTTTATTTTTCAAAAAGCAGTCACTTTCCGATTTGCTTCGCACTTCTAAATTACTATAAAACCCTGTATGTGTTAGAAATGGGCATCGACTCGAAAAACATGATCAAAAAAGTTACAGTTGGAACAGAATCACTCATATACACACTGTTTATCGTTAAAAGACCACCGGCCCGGCGCGGCGTACTGAATATGGTACTTGGTACTGCTTTTATCGTTTTTAGCGACAACCGGAGACTTTCGAACTGTTTATCTTTCGGAAAATAAAACTGTGCTGGCTTAGGCTGGTGGTAAAATGAAAGCAACCCGCAATTTTAATACTTTCTATTGTTTCTTTTATCAAACGAGATCGACGAATGTCCGAGAAACGTGGAGTCGTGTCTATTGAACAGCGGAAATAAATCGTAATTTGTAATAGCCTACAAGTGTGTTGTTGTATCAACAGAAAAGTATAACATTGTCTTTTCATAAAACTTCATGAATGAAATTGTTTATAGCTGCTTTGTAATTTTCTCAAGGAGAATGTTGAGTGAGAGATTAATATAATTGGTATGATAAAGAAATAGATCAAAATGTATTATACAGGGTGTTCCAATATTCCGTGGACATAGAACAATATACTACGTATTTGGAATCAAAATAAGTTCATTGGACACAATTTACCTTTATACAATAGTGATTCGTTTGTTCGTTAGAGAGCATCAAACTTTAATAACGGCAATCGATGATAATCTTAGCGAGGTCAATCTCTAGGCGTCAGTTACTAAAAATTGACATAAAGCTTGTCAAAAATTTAAAACTAATTATAGAAAAATAAAAAAGGGCAGAAAGATTCCAGACACACAAATTAATTTCTAAAAAAATAGTTTATCGAATTTTAAACTACACCATTTAAAAGTAATTTATACTCAATATACCTTAAGACCAAATGACAGTAAGCATCATTAAAAAATTAAGAAGAGTATGATACAAGTAAGGTAACGTCTAAGGCTTGACTTCGCCAAAATTATCATCGATTGTCTTCCCCAGCTGTCTTTGACACCGTTTTTTTCGATCGTATATATCTATAAGAGAATAAATAGAATCTGTTCCGTATATAATGTGAAATGCTATATAATATATTAGCTATATGATCCAGACACAAAGTACCTGCGAAAACGGACCAAAATACCCACTTTACCCAAATATGTACTAACTACTCCTAAATACTGACTTCATGAAAGGTTGTTTTAAGTTTCTTTGTGATTTCCACAAATCATAATATTTATACTTTACATCGCACATAATTTTCAACGTCTTCGTAGTTCAATTCAGTCAACAATTCGCAGGTTTTTTTTTACAAAAAAAAAACGTAAGATGAAACTTAAAAATGTAAATGAAACAAAAACTCCAACACCTTAACATGTAGATAAACTCCCAAAAGACTCAGAGAAGATATCGACAGACAACATCTAAAAAATGGCAGAACATTCAATTTTTCTATGAGTTAAAATAACAGACAATTATTTTCTCGTTGGACAGACTTTAACAATATACATAAAACCATTTATACCATACTTGCAATTTGGAAGGATAATATATTATTTCTCAAATTCAAGTTTATTAAACATAACTTAATACAAATTCATTCATTTTTAGGAATGACTTCACACAAAAATAATATAATTCAAGATTTTCTAAAATAATGTAATATTTAATATTAATTTTGCTTGCCTCTAGTAATAAATTTTGTGATTAACATCACTTATTTATGAATATTGGGAGATATGTATATATTTTTTTTTAATTTCTTAAAACGACATTTGTATTTTGACCTTAGTCACTGTTTATTGTGTATTTTCTTGACCGAAATACACCTATAAAACTTGGACCAAAACAAAAAAAAATAAATACAGGAAAAATGTTTCGATAAAAAACAAAGAAAATCAAATTTTAATGATTAAAAACCATACAATATTAAAGAATATCAGCTAAAAAGTGTTTTAAGTGTCTTAAGTTTTTGTAAACCACTGTTCCTATGCTATTAGAGACATAAGTACAGTTTATTGTGCATATACTGTATGTGCATGTGTATGATCAAAGTATACAAAATTATGTTTGTTAATAAATCAGGCAAGAGCAAGAATATCAGACAGAAATCAGGCAAGAGCAAGAATATATAATCATTGCATGCAAAGGTAAACAAAATCGAATAAATTATAGATCTATACTTGATCTATACATAAACTATTGGAAGTCTACGTCAAAAATTACAATAGTGAATCTTAAATAAGTGCAAATATTATTAGGAGAAATAGTATTTCGAGTTTGAGTTTTTTTCGCGATTTTTTTCTTATAATTTGAATTCTTTTGAAAAAAAAATTTCGAAAAAGAAAAAAAGAAAATTTAGAAAACCCGTGTTTTTAGGTTTTTCTAAAGTTTTAGGACTAAGTTTTAACACTTTGCCATTGTGTTTCTTCTGTTTTACCTCCACGTAATACCAACTTTCCAAAATAGCGAGGTTAATATGTCAATCCGACGTTTTAGACAATTATTGATAAATATGAACCTGGAATTTTTATTTAATTTTCAATGCCCTTTAACTACAAAATAAAATGAGATATAAAAGTCATACAATACCATTTGACATTTGAGAGATTTCTTGAGAAAATCAGTATCATTTGGAGTATCTCGAAACAATAACCTAGTAACCACTGATAAAATAATTATAGTAGAGTTTATAACTGTACCAGTAGAGCAAAAGGAGTTCTTTTTTTCGACACGAAGTTAATAAAAGTCGGTTCACCCAAAACAGAGATGTCATCATTTTTTTTAAATGTAAAAATACTTAACCTTCCCTCACCACGTTATTTTTGACATCAGACAAAAATGGTACGTAGCATACTCTTCTCAATAATTGATTAAAAAATACAGCGCTTATAATTTTAACATATCTCAATTCATAAAATTTAAGAGAAAATTGGTATTTCGATTTTGTTTTAGCGATCAAACGCTTTAAAAAAGTTGGCCGATCGTTTCCTGCAACAATCAGTTCTCTGAATATAACTGTACATAAATGACGACGTTAGTTTTAGCTGCCTTGGTCTGGGTTTGCAGCGAGGACCGAGCAGCTCTTTTGCGATTTTCCACAAATTTCTTAAAATGGAGCTGCCTGGTTATTGCAGCCACCCCTTCAATTGGCCGTTTTAAGACAGTACATATTTACAAAAACTTTCAGTATACTAATATACTTTAACAATCCAGAAAGTATTTTGGGATACTGACAAATATCCAGTACTGTCAATAACAGTGATCGTGTGAGGCCCGATTTACGTAGTAGGCTGCACGTAGCTTATTTGCTTGTAAATATGTTCTTCCTTAACCTCTATCATTCACAGTTCCCGATTTACAGCCGAAGTCCTATATTATTGGAACAACCGTTAAAATTCATAATTTTTTGTGGCCTTGCAATATAAAACATGCAGTATTTCATCCAAAAATAAAAATATATATACTAATCACAACATGCACACAACTTTACACAAAGCAACTGTACCTGACTGTAATTCCGTCGATGCTTCCATATCCAAAGAACAGGTTCCTATAGAATCAATCGACGTTTCCATGTTGACCATAGAAGAACTGTTATCGTCACCAAGGTTGGACAGAGAGCGAAATGACGAGCATGTTGATAAAGGTGGAAGCGATATAGTTGGAATAGTTGATTGTGAACTGTCTAATGCCGAACTAAATTTTTTATACGTAAAAGATTCTGAATGATCTTCGGTTGCGTTATTCTTGATTAATTTCGTGTTTTTTTGTTTCGGGTCAAAATCATTTTGACGTCTTTCAGTGGATTTAAAGAAAATATTTTTGAAACGTCCAACGCTTGGTGACGATTCAGAAGAGTTCTGTTTAAGTTCTTCACGAGAGTTTTTATTGGAAAAAAGTCTCTTCACACCATTAATGCATGCACTATTCTTCTCGGAACTTTGAGTTTTGCATACCAACTTCCCTAAAGATGCAAATGAAATAATGAAATATACACATATATGAAATGATAATTTTATATGAGAAATTAGTGTATGAAATTCCCATGACAGCCATCCAGTATTTTATCGTCCGGATCATAAAGCGCAAAGTTGTATATTCTTTTAAGTCCCGTCTACACATAAAACATGTCCAGACGTAGCTGGCGTTACCGTCAGCCTGGCCGAAAATTCCCAAATTTAGTTTAGCTCTGCGCCGCTGTGCGCAGATTTACGCGTCGTTTACGCAGCGGATAAAGAATACTGTACCGCAGTTCTGCTTTCAGTCGACAGAGTGAGTAGTTGCCGTAGATAAATACTATAGAACTACTGATTAATCCATCGATTTACGGATTTTGGGAACAGTACGTTTCTATCATTAAACAATTTAATATAATATTATATGATTAAACAAAGAGTGGCATCCGAGTTGGCTTGGAAATGCAGATCGCTATTATTTCATATGTAAAATATTATGGTAAATATCAATAATCGTCATTTCCAAGCCAACTAAACCTTATTCAATCATACAACATGTTCAATACATATAAAGGAATTTTTATTTTTGTTTATTCTATGTTTAACACGAATACATTTTCAATACATAAACGCAGATTTTTCATCCAAAGATATTTTCGTCAAATATATTAAAGATATTACACATTTTAATATGGCAACACTGTCGCTTTCAGATCCACACCGACTTCGACTTCGTTGGCCGAATTAAAGAAAATAAGTGTTTTATGCGTTGACCGCAAAGCGACTGGTGTCTCTAGTGATGGAATACCGGTTCCACGTGAGTCGCGTTATAATAGCGACCGTTCCAGAAAAATACCGCGATTTTGTAACCGAGTTTCCGACTTCCAAAGTGTTGCGGTCCTCGCTAAAAATATATCTAACTTATCTATATTTGTAGATTAATGTAACTTTTATCCGCCACTCATTTTCCAAATATCGAGTTTATAATGGTGTATAGTCAATCTATCTCATTTTTAGAAAAACAATGACATTCCTTGTTATTTTTTTTCTTTGTCAATTTTTAATTTTAATTAAAATGAACGGCTCATATTTATATGTATTGCAATATAATATATTTAATCTTAAAATCAAGAACAAAGTCCAAACTACTGTCAAAAAAATTGTTTATTGGTCTAACCTAACCTTAAAAATAGATATAAACAATAAAACTTATATAAATGTATAAAAGCAAATAAAATATTTTTATTTTATTTTATTTGCTTTTGCGTTTCATCTTTCAAACCACACTATTTTATACCATGCCAGTAGGGTAAAGTAAGGTAAGTTGGTGATATTTTTGTTTGAACATGGACAATTTGAATTCATCCGAACTTACCTATCCGGAAGGTTTATGTTTCAAACAATCGTTTATATATACAAAACGATAAGATGATGTCAATTTTGACAGAAAAAATGCATTTGAAAAAAATACAAATTGGTTAGGTAATTTGGTTATAGGTAAGTTAATTTGGTGATAGTGGAAAGGTATTTTGGTGATATATGAGATTACGAGCAGTTGAAAATAAAATGGCTGAAAAATTTTAAGTTTATTACAAAACAAGTATTTTACCTAGTAGAAATAATAATATTTTTTATTCTGAGTCGTTTGAAGACTGCTCATCACAACCGTCGCACATAAAGGTGTCTTCATCGTCAGGTCTCGTTTGACAATTTGTGTGATACGGAACACAGCAAAAAGAGCACTGAACTCATAAGGCACCATTTTTAGCGTTCACATCTTCTCGATAGCTGATTCCGCAGACACCACAGTGCCAATCATCATCATCCTGTTCTTTCCTGTTCTTTTTTGTGGACTTTCCTTTCGAAGAACATTTTATGTTAGACGCTCTAGAGTTTACTATTCCCGAAGGTCCTGCTTGTAGCTGTGTTGGTAATTCCGGCCAAGTTGCACTGGAGTCTCTGGTTTTAGTCCGTCGTGTTGCTTTGCTGGCTAAACTTGCAGAAGGCAGTAAAAACAAATTGTCGACGCTGGATTTCTCCAAAAGGGGATCAGAAAGAACAACGTCATCATTTTTAGTAACTGACTAAAACACTAACATCCTTAAAAAGTGTTCTAAAAAGTGCAATCATAATTTTATTTAAAAGTCTGTGTCCTAACATTCACGTTTTGCATGCAAAATTGCTAAGTAAATGGCCGAATAACTTAAGCCCTAACAAGAGCAAAAACAATATTTTAAGTTCATTATTATTGTACCACATTAAAAATAGCATATTCCCTATGGGATAACACAGGAACAAACTCTTACCTTTCAATAATTCGCCAACTACAAATAAAATCAATTTATATCACAAAAATTATCAAATCGAATGACTTTATTTACAGGCACGAAGCAAACGTTTTCCTAAACGTAAACAAATGAACCGAAGTTCGCCACAGACTATGCAGCATGTAGGGGATATTAGATAGATTTAACCGACATGTTTTAAGGCCTCCCACTGAATAGGCGAGTTGCTGAAAAATTATTAAAGAACTATCACCAATTTACCTATACCACCAACATACCTTACTTTACCCTACATACCAAAAATCGCTATTTCGAAAGTAACGAAGCGACGGCGACGGGAGCACTAACGCCAATAGTAACCGACCAAATCGCGACAGGCAAAACCGAAACCCTAGAGGCGCTCCAGCGACTGCTGGAACGAAATACGTGGCCGCCGAGGTCGAGCGTTGATAATCAGTTACAGCAGTTACTCCTGTTCGCTACAGGGAACTAAAACTCTAGGAGCGCGAAGCGACGGCTGGAGCGAAGTAGGTCACCGCCGAGGTCGAGGGTCGATGCCCAGTTACAGCAGTTACTTCTGTTCACGACAGGGAACTACAATTCTAGGAGCGCGACCGACGGCTGGCTGGAGCGAAAACGTCCCGATCGAGATCGCGCGGCGCTACGAACATACCAGTCCCAGATACTACTGTTGGCGACCGATGAAATCGCGACGGCTGGTTGTGACACGTCGCTATGCGGTTATTACGGTTCGAGCTAACTTCAAGTGCGATTATAAATAATTTATAATTTTGTCGTCATTATGATCGTCGTTCTTCAGTAACAGGTTCCTGATTCGTTGTGGAGCGCGACACGACGTTAAAAAAAAAAATACCGCTCCAAAATCGCGTTACTCAAATACCGACACATCACTAGTCTCAACCGTACAGCACTTGTGACGTAAGGTGAAATCAAATCAACCTTGTCACGAAGTCGCTCATTAGGTTGTGTATCTTTCCAATTCATTCAAACAACAGTAAAACGTTATGTTTAGACGCAAGGGCGTATACAGGAATTTATTTTAGGGGGGCCCAAAACAAAAAAGTAATATAGAATTTGCTTTTTAGGAGCCATTTTTAACTCAAAAGCCTAATATTTAAAACAATTTATAGTTTTTAGAGGGAGCCGGTGCCCCATGGGCCCCCCTCTGTATCCGCCGCTGTTTAGACGGGTTTAAAACGGAAGACAGTCTACAGAATAGTTACGATTTTTTAGACGATTTTCCTTTTTAGTTGAAAGACAAAACGTTATGTGTAGACGGGGCTTTAAGATCGGAGACAGCGCAGTCTCTGGACCAAACAAAGACAAAAGAATTTTTCTAGTTTGCAAATAAAATTGCAGCATTTACGAACGACGCGTATATCAAAACGGAGAGGATTATCGAATGAATTTATCACCGTCATACCTGCATCAAAGACTACACCTGCATTTGTTAATTCAATAGAATATTTAGTATGATGCATGACGCAATCGTCACCGTTCTTGAATCAGACTATCGTTAAGTACTATTTGATCAAAAAAATTTATGACCTTATCCTTATAGGCTTTTTTCGCACTTCTTTGACATTGATTTGTTATAAAATTATAATGTAATATATTATAGGAATTGTTTCTCTTCACTTTTTCAAATTAAAATTCTAATGTAATATATAAGAGTTGTTGTCTTCACTTATTCAAATAACTTTTTGATCACACTGTTAAATATTTTATTAAGAGTGCCAATTTTAAATTTGTGTACAGCATTAGTTCCAAATTGCAGCAACTTCAAGTAACTCTGAAGATAAAACACCTCTATTGGCAAGATCGAGAATTTTAAAAAATAACGTAGAAATTTTGATCAGAAATATGACAGACAACCAAGAAGATCAATGTTATCCAAATTCGAAGAGCAAGTGGCTCAATTAAAATATGATAGAGCAATGTAAATCCTACGTTGCTCAACACATTTTAAAAGGAACCATTGCATAGACGTATACCGGATGCGTCTCAAAAGTGGCTCACCCCTATAACTTATTACTAACACTCCTATTACTTCCTGTTTCACCGAAAAGGACTACAACTTTTGCTTTTTAAATAGCACCCTCGGTATATTTTCTACTTTATTCAACAGGAAATGACACTCTGAATAGAATGACATATCATATGTCAACTTTTGACATATAATATTCGCTTTAAAAAACATCGTACTTTAAATTTCAATCTAGAGTGCCATGGCTGTGTTAAAAACACTAATTTTAATCAAGGAGCCTTGCAAAAATAGAAATGATCGTCTAATGTTTTTCGTGTCTTGTCCTGGCAGGTTAAAAGATGCCCGAATCGTATTTTTAATCATTTCTCAATTTTTTCAAATGGAACGAGGGCAGCTCATTAGCATATTTAGAAAAGGTATTTTTTACCAATCATTTGATACCACACACTTGGTATTTCGAGTCAATATGTTGTTATGGACCGCATGTTACAATTTCAAATAAACTATATGCGAAAATGTCGAAAGTTGACATGTGATACGTCATTCTATTCAGAGTGTCATTTTCTATCGAATAAAGTAAAAAAATACCAGGGGTACCATTTAAAAATCAAAAATTGTAGTCATTTCCGGTGAAACAGGAAGTGACCGAAAACAACTGAATACGTCAATCAATCCTAATTTATGTCATATAGTAAGTAACATACCGAATCTCGTT